GCTTAAATACACGGAAGCTCTGGCTCTTTCCTTTCTTTATGTACAAAGTCATAATTCTATTATTATTCAGATTATTTGCAAACTGTCTTTGATTTTGATAATTGACATTTACCCGTTGGATCAACCCAAAAAGCTTCTCAAACGAATGCAGACATCATTAGATCGTTTAATAGATTAACGCTGAGACACAGAGACGGTTTAGTGCTTTTATATATCAAAGTGATTTCTGTGATATGAGTCTACTAACCAACCAACTAACTAACCAACCAACCAACCCTGTAAACAACCAATAAGTCAGCCAACCAACCAAATAACATCCAACCAAAAATACAATCAACTGAACAACCGATTGGCTAACTAACCAACCACCCGTCTGACGTACCAATTACTCCAACAACTAAATAACCAGCTGACAAACCAACCAACCAACTAGTTGACCAACCCCCTGATTAACCAACCAAACTACTAATCAACTGATCAACCAACCCATGGACCCACTAATCAATTAGCCAATTAACCAACCAATTAACCACTCGACCACCCAACTAACCAGTTGAGGAGGGATCCACCATGGTTAAGAAAGAGCAGCTTCCTTCCAAAAAGCAGGTTTGAAACGTTAACCAGCTCTGCTTGTCCCTGTGGGTTTAGGCGGCTCTGCTGAGAAGAAGATGGACCTGGTCCTGGAAGATCTGGAGGAGGTGAAGGAGGAGCCGCATGAGCAGATCAATCAGCAGATGTCTAAAATAGAGGTGGGTGTGCTTTAGCTCAGCAGAAACTCTGATTATTTACCACCTGTTCTTATCCACACCTGTTTAACATCTGCTCTGGGTTCAACAGATGTTCATGTTTAAGGATGGTTACGATTTTCCAATTAGCTTTGACTCAATGACACAAACATACATATGAGTGTATTTCCTCTATTAAAAGTTCATTGCTGGTCTGGGTTATAACAGTTAGTTCTAAAACTACAAAGAAAGTGAGTGGGCTGAACACGGCTCTGAGGAATTCCTCAACAAAGCTGAACATTGTCGCATTTTCAGTTATTTTATCAAATTGGAATAAAAAAAATGAGCAAGTTGAATTTTTATCTACCAGCAACTTTATTTAGGTACATTTATTCATTGCTTAAGAGGAAGAGCAAATCTTCTGATCACTGGAAGCAGCAGGTCAGGCGAGGTCACGACGTGAAGATGACTTCCTGGAGACCCGAGCAAACATCTCAGGGAGGAAGAAGAGGGGTTGATGGAACTTTAGAAGTGGCAGATTAGACCTGTGAGCCTCCAAGTATATATAGGAGAGATAGGACAGGTAAGACAGCAGGACAGGTGGGACAGCCTGAGGGGAGGGACAGGTAGGACAGGGGACAGATCTAGCAGATAGAACAGGTAGGATGGGTTTCTGGGATGGACAGGTGAGATTTTATTGTCAGTGACTTAAAGGACATCTCTGTTACTGGTTGCAGATGGACGATGCAGAGACGCAGGTAGATGAACTGACCCCACTGATGGACAGTATCAAGAAGGAGGCTGGAGACGCTGTCCTCGCTCACATGGAGGAAAGGTTAGCAGCTCACCGTCTTCATCTTCCTCCCCTGTCTTTGTGTGGTCCAGACCTTCAGCTTTTGGAGACGGTTGTTGGAGCATGTCATAGTTTGAGTATTTACAGCATTAAAAACAGCAGAGCAGCTCTGATCTCTGCTCCTCTATGGATCTTCTGTCTGAACCATCTTCAGGTTGTATCCATATTTAGGTTTACATGGATTAGGACGTTTTAACTTTCAAAAGTTTAAGCTGTAGATTCCTGGTTCAGATTGCAGCTATAAGAGTTTACCAGAGAAAGAAGGAAATGTACAGGATCCAAAAAAAGAGGGTTTCTTCTGTCTGAACACTGGATCTGGATTCTGGATCTCCCCCCCTGTACCAGGCTGCAGCAGGAGCGTCTAGAGGCGGCCCGGGTTGCTGAGGAGATGGCCAGGAAGGCGGCAGAGGAGGCAGTCCGACAGCTGGAGGTGGAGCATTCAGCCAAGATCGTCATAGAAACGCTCCCGGAGTCCAATGAGCAGTAGGTTGCACTCTGCTCTGTCTGAAGCAGAAGAGAATTTAGGGTCAGGAGCTGATTTCCAAACACTGAAACCAGAGGAGCCATAAAGGATCTGACCAACGTTTCTGGTTGTCCACAGACTGCCCAACATCCTGGAGGAGGAAAATGAAGATGAACCAGAGTAAGTCCATAGGAGGTTTCTGCAGATCCAAAGAAGTCAAAACTGTCACAGAAAATTGAACTGTTGCTGTTTTCCCTGAGGAAGAATCAGTGAATCCTAACCCTAACCCTAATCAAGATACCAGAAGTAGTTTAACGATCATGACGCACTGATCAGTACAAAGAGTAAAGTGATGAAAACAATCAATTCCAGAGAGAATTCCAGTTTTTTATAGTTTTGTGTTAGAAAGCCAAACAGGCTTTGAGACTCCAATAAGCTGAAGGCTCCAGATGTTCCAGCTGCTCAGATTCACCGCAGCTTTCCGCTCTTTTCCTCGTTCAGGCTGCAGCACCTGCAGGAGGACAGTGAGGACAGCACAGATAATAAAAGCAAAAGCGCTGAGGCGAATCAAACGGAGGAGTAAGTTCAGCCACATTAGATGAAGGAGGAACTCCTGGTGCGGCTCTGGGAGCTTCAGCTCAGCTTGCATGCTTTTTCTAAAGAGCTGAATCTGCATCACACCACTGCAAACCTTCCTGGTGGTTCCAAACTGCTTAGTTCAACCCAACATTGCCCAAATCTATGTTTGCTACTGCAGCACAATTTAAAGGTTAGAAAGCGCCGCTCTCACGCTGCTCAGGTGCACCACTGCTATAACATTTACCCAACTGCACCTCAAACATCACTGCAGCTGGTCTTATTTTCATGCAACATCATTCATGTCCTCCATCTAAGCTGATGAAGATTAATTCATCTTAGTTATCAGGGTGCTTGGAATAACAGAACTTGACCTACATTCTTTCAAATTAAAGCAAAACTGTAAATGTTTAGGCACTGGGGCCGCTAGATCTGAAACTTCCAGGTCTGGAGCCCTTGAAGCCCCTGGTAGGGCTCCCCTGTAGCTAATGAACCAGCCATGATTAATATAAATCACAGAGTTCCTTGTAAAGACAAGGAAAATTTCACCCCCTCGATTAAAACCTACCTCAGAGAACCAAAAATATGTTTGATGTGGCTTGGGTCAAATCTGTTTTTTTCGGCTAACAACTTTTGGCTTAGGTAGCCCTCCTATTTAAGGGGAGCTCAGACTGGCCATGTGATTCTGGGTCACATGACCACTAGCTATAGCAATTTTGGATAGAAAATCCCACAGTGTTGCTTTAAACTAATAATTAACAGGCACTCTGGGACTCACATTTTATTTCCAGCTGACCCTTATAGAGAGTATAACATTGAGGCAAACATGAAGTATCCCATTCTGATGTACAACTGGGAATTTGATACCCTTAATTCCAATAGACATGCACTGTTCAATCTGGATGTGTGCCTCTGTGCATCTGCCTCTGTGCACAAAGACAGGCACAGAGGCAGGCTCAGTGGTTGGGGGAAGCAGAGACAAGACGTGGTACCAAGATTTCAGCAGGACTTTAAACTGATCTATGAGCAATAAGCATCTCCCTGAAATTCCTTTTTTGGACTTGGGATGTCTGTTAAAGGAGAATAACATACCTCAAACAGGTGTCAGGTCTTGATGTTCCACATAATTTGCTACGTTTTCTCACATTTCGACCTACTGCGAACATTTATATGCCACCAGATAAGGTCAGCATTCCAGGGTGGACATGTGTGCTAGCCTGGAAAGTAGGGTGTTAGCATGTTAGTTAAACATTTCATCAATTTGTTACCAGGATCAAGTTTGGAAAATAGTCACTGTAGCCAGTTTGACCACTTACTGTCATGTCAGGTCATGTTCTTTTTTCAGGCAGTTTCTAGTGTTTTACAGAATAATTAAGAAGTTTGTTTAGGTGTCATTGGGATTGGACCTTCTGCTTGGACTTCGAATGTTCAGGGGTTAGGACAAGGGTTCTAGACAATAAAAAAGTAGCCTGGTCCCCTGAGTTCAAGATGGTGGTCTCTGCTTCTGGTAGATGAGTGGGAGGGATGTTGGTGAAGAATTTCAGTCATCAGGTCATAGTCATTCCAAAAAAAGAAAGTTAAAAACAATCCACTGGACTGTGTTTCCAAGTTTGTTCCAAGTTTCCACCACTGGATAAAACCTGGAACTAAACGCTATTTCTGACATTTTGAATTGAAAAATCTTCCTGGATGGAAGAGAAACGTCTTCAAACTTGGAAGCAAAGTCCAGTGGATTGATTTTAACTTTATTTTTTTGAGTTGGATGTTGGTCCAAGATGAAGGCAGGGTAGGAACAGAGATTAGAACCCTTTCTGCAGTACAGTGTTTCTTTCTCTGGGGAAAAAGGAGCTGGACTTTAAGGAAAACACAAAGCTCCATTTATTTTCCAGTCCGGTCCTACAGTCATGGGATATGGATCCAGAACCATATCCAGTATATGAGCAAATGAAAGGATCTGACTGTGTAACATGGTGGCTAAAAGCAGAGGAGCTCCATCGTCTTGTGGTGAAGCTCTGTGTTTCTCTACTATGACTCAGCCCCGGAGGTTCATCTGAACAAAACAACTTCTAGATGCCTCCACTTGGTAGTTCTTCAGTCATATTAGATTGAGAGGAAACTGCAGAGAATACCAGGAACTTTCAGGGGGAGTTTTGTGGGTGGCTATAGATTTCTAAGCAACCAGAACAAACATTCCTGGTTTGAGACCTCTAAGCAAAATATGATGATCTCCAGGAGGACGTGGAGAGTCTCGCTGGGCGGTTTACAGGATTGTTTCTTGGTTATAACATCGTCCGTTTTGGTCCACTGCACTTTTTACTGTCCAAAAACAATGTTATGTTACATTACACAGAAATTGGTCGATCACTAGGACCAAGCGGAAAACCGCAGCTCCAGTTGAATCCTGCTTCTCTGAGTTTAGACCGCCCACAAGCTCCTGATTGGCCCTCTGTGATTGGCTGTCACCACTGTCTCCTGAAAAGCTCACTGTACAAGTATTTGATGCGCCACTGAACTAGGTCTGTGATTGGATGATTAAACACCCTGAAGTTAGTTATATTAAACAATACAACCCCCCGCCCACACACACACACACACACACACACACCCTTATTCATCCATGGGAATACCAAGGTTCTCCTTACCTGCATCAGTACGCCTGTAGGGTAACCACTAACTGTTCTTTGGAACACGTCAGCCTGCTTTTTCACGGGTCTCTGTTTTTGCATAAAACTTGTAGTCCA